GTATGATGAATATTTCTGTTGATTTGGCTTATTCCCCATTATTTTCTGACTGACTAGGATAAAAATGAAAGGAAAACGAGGCCTCTACGTCATTTTGACCACTTTCATGACTTTGTCCAGTTTTATTTGACTTTCATCAGGAGTTTTATTTCTCTCAACAAGATCTTGAAAGTCTTTGAAAAGTTCTCGAAGATGCTGTCCAAGTTAGTGAGGAAAGCACTGCTGCCAAGATTGAGAGAGTAGTTTTAGCTGGGATTCTGAGTCTGAGCAAAATAAATGAATAAATCAAACTTTCAATTAAACCATCAAGTTTATGCACAGGTGATGTGTTACATGTGTTTCGCAGTGATGAAAATGTTATTTATCTTCCCTCAGGGGATACAATTTACGCTCGAGTGATGGTGGATCCAGTGCAGAACTTGGGTGACTCCTTCATTTGTAACATAGAGAAAGTGTTCCTGTGTACTGGAGCTGATGGATATGTCCCTAAGTACAACCCCAGTAACTTTGAGTTTGGCTGTCTGGCGGATGCTCCATCACTACTCTACAGATTCAAGATCATTGTAAGCAACAAAAGTATATCTCTCATTATGTCACATGTGCCTCTTTTCTTTTTTAAAAAAAATATTCTCTTAAATATCTTCTCATTCCAGGACAAAGCTCAGCCAGAGACCCAGGCCCGGTCATTTGGCAATGTAGCTTTCAACGCCTTCCTGGCGGTGGATGACCCCGGTGCTTTAGCTCTAGTGAGGCAACCTGGGTCAGATGGTTTCAGAATAGATTCCTCAGCTCTCTTCCAGGTCAGTATAAATGTCGATCTGTGATGCATTGGAGAGGTTTTTTTGTGCTGGTATTTACATTTTTGTTTGGCTGTTAAATCTGCCTGGCTTCGAACTCTCAGGAAACTGGTGTGAACATGTGGACTCCTGCTGTGTATAAAGCAAGTGCAAAGACTAAGATGAAAATATACTGTACTTACAGGAAGCGACCTAACAAGATGTTTCTTTTCCACAGATATTTTACTTTTTCTTCTTAACTAGCTAAGAGAATAAATAACCTCACAGTCTTGATACTTTCTGCATCCTCATGGAAACTCATTGTGAGTGAACAATCCTGTCACCGCGTGGGCTGGCCTTTATATGGCCTCTGATGAAAGGATCGTATATGACTCAGACTCTCCCCTTTCACTGAGTCCAGATTGCTTCTTCTGGTCAGTGAGTTGTATTTATTGGCTTGTTAAGAAGAAAAAGTCAGTATCAGAATGCCTACAGATCCAGGGAGTATTTTCCAATGGCTTCTTTTATAGATAGATAGATAGATAGGTAGGTAGGTAGGTAGGTAGGTAGGTAGGTAGGTAGGTAGGTAGATAGATAGATAGATAGATAGATAGATAGATAGATAGATAGATAGATAGATAGATAGATAGATAGATAGATAGATAGATAGATAGGTAGGTAGATAGATAGGTAGATAGGTAGATAGATAGACTTTATTAATCCCCAGAGGGAAATTGGGTCGTCATAGCAGCCAGGTACATTTAAATACAATAAAATACAATAGAATAAAATACAACAATAGAATAAAATACTTAGATAGAAAAGATAAAAAAAGATAAATAGGTAGGTAAGGTACAAAGAGTTGTAGTTGCAAGATGGTGGTAATAGTACTGATGACATGATGGTAGTGTTATTGTTAATAACAGTATATAATAATAACAGTATACAATGATAATATTAATAATATTTATAATAATATAATAATAATAATATGTATATATAATATGATGACTGAAAAGATATATATTTTTAACTCCATTATACAACAACTGCACTGGATACACTATGTATTTGAGGTTGTATTGTGCATGTTTGGCCCCATATACACTAGTACAGAAGAAATACCACAATAAACATCAAAATGGGTCCATGAGGGGAAATTACATTGACAGTAGCTGTATTTGTTAATATTTCCTTTCTTTTATTACCACATTCTTAAGGATCGTCAAAAGGAACTGGTGTTCTGCAGTAAGCTGTGCCATAAAAATGACCTACAGATATCTTATTTTTTAAAACAATATCTATTGCTCTTTGCAGGTGTCTGCAGGGAGAGAGTGGTACATTCACACCATCTACACTGTCCGTTCTCGAGACAATGCTAACCGTGGCATAGGGAAGAGAAGCCTCGAGTACCATGTGATGAGCCAGCACACAAATCTGCTTCCGAAAGGTCAGCATCGCACCAGAAGATCAGCCAACGATGTGCCAGACATAATAGAAGAGATTGGTGTGAGTAACAACCGCGGCACCAACATCCTCCACATCGCCTTGGACCGCAGCAGCCAGCGGAGGACCAGCCCAGAGAGGGAGATCTTTACCAAAGGAATCATTCCCCGTGAGCTCAACCAGAGAGATAACAGTGATGACAGACTAGTGTTGATCATTGGTATCTTTGTCGGACTGCTCCTCACAGTGCTTATCATCATTTTGGTGGTGTTCCTGGTCCGGTCCAAGCGAGGGAAGAAAAATGTACCCAAGAGCTCCAGCAGCGCAGAGCCCATGATGACACAAGTCCTCAGCAACAGTGACAGCTCAGAGGTCTAACAAACAGACTGATGATTGAGAGTTTTAGTTAATATTTTTGTTTTGCAAGTGCCTCACATTTAGATAAAAATTGAAGATTGTGTGCGAAGCAACACAAACAAGAGCTTTGATTCTATTCATAAATCTACTTGAAATACTACATCACTTCCACGGCCGGGGAGTGGTCGGGACATAATAACTTGGAGACGGACTTTGTTAGCAGCTGTTTCAGGGCACTTGTCAAGTTGTCAGCACTCTCTTATTGATTTGCTTTTGATGCCACTTGATCCAAAAAAGGTGTTATTATTATGTTTCCAAAGGTGCTATAGAAGATGCCTTCTTAATAGAATGGCATTTGGTGTTTTACTGAGTAGGTCAAGAGAAGGTGGATATTTTGCATACTGTAGTAGTTGTTAACAACAGGCTTTGTATGTTTGATTTGCTGCATTAAGACACTGTCCATAGTTTGCTTACACTGGGTAAACCTGTCTGTTCTTATAGAGAATGATATGTCCTTAGATTCAGTGCGTGCCTAAGAAATTACAGGATTTTGAGGTTTTATGATATACGTTATGTTTGTCCTGTGTGATCAGTAAGACATCCACTCAAATGAAAATAATATTTTTCACATTGTTTTCTTGTGCTCCTGTTTTTGCATGCATTTATTTTTGTATTTTAAGATGGTTTGAAATTGTAAAAAAAATTGTCTAAATGCTGATTTTAATGGAATTATGACAAATGTGTCTGCTCTACTGTATTTCCACCAGTATTTTACAGTATATCCCATGAAAAACAGTATTTATCACTGGCTAATTGTTATTGTTAAATTCCCCCTAATATTTTGTTGTTAAAACGCTATGATCCTAAGACCTTATAATTGACACATGGCACTAAATCAGAGAAGTTAAACTGTTAGTCCGTAGTAATGAAACGACTTTCAAGACAGCTGGTCTGCAATGTACAGTGTAGTATAGTAGCAATTCCAAATCCACTATTTCCAACAAGAACTATTTTCACTCTTGGCACAACTGATATACTAAATTTGTTGACTACTGTAGCTTAGTAGAGATAGCTGGGACTCCAGATCCCTCTCACAACAGGGCTATGTGTTGACTGTGCTGTTTCATTTTTTTAATATCGAAATATTGAAACGTCTAATAAGTTTAACAAATTTCACTTAAAGGGAATGAAATGTTTTACCCTCAATCATCGTCTTTATTGTCAGAACTACTGTACTCTCCCTGATTCATTAGTTTTAAATGTATTTATTTATTTTTTCATGCTTGTTATTTAGTGCAGACATAAATCGTATTGTCATTTCACCTTGAACCTATCTTTCTCAAACTGTATGACTTGTTTGTTATTGTAATTTCAATGTACAATACACATATACAGGTTATGTGTTTGCATTAAAACAGTGTGAACATTAGGTGGACATCATACAAGCTTTCCATGAATCAGTGTTTTGTTACCAGATCCAGGCACTGGATTGCCATAATATCTGATTACCTCATACTACTATATATCATATGATAGACACTAATTTCATAGTCACTACTTTATAAATGTTAGATTTATTTGCAATTTTACTTTGAAACTGAAAACAATTCTATGCAACCTGTGATATCATCCCTTCATGAAATGTTTACCCCATGATGATTATTTTTTCAGTGCACAATTTGCTTGCTAATCTAAGTTTGTCACTCTATCAATGTACTGTGTTTCTTTTATTCCACTCTAATGCTTTGAGTGCATTCTGAGCTTTTTTTTATGCACATGTATGTATGTATATACATATGTATTACATATAAATATACCATTTGGATGTTTTGGGAATGGTTATTGTTAAAAAATGCATACTGTATGTGCTGTAAGTATTTGTAACATAGACCAGAAGCACAGCATGGTCTTCAAATAAATAATTTTTCAAGAAAACATCATGAATTGTTTGTTGATGAAACATATGTTTTAGTTGTTGTTGGGCAGTGTCAAGGGGAGTGACTTTAAACATATATATCAGTTATTTGTACTGGACACCAAAGTTTTCTTTAAATAATTTGACTAAAAATTATAAGCATTTCCATACTTGTATACAACTCTATGAATACGCCATCCAATTAAGCATCACTCCCTTTTTTGTCAAAATGCATACATAAGGAGTTCTGAGAAGAGGCCAGGCCATAAATAGTTTTACACTACACCAACTACAAACTAATCAGAGGTTGCTCTCATGATTAATTTTAAGATTAAATCTAAATCTAAAATTGCTCTCAATCTAAACCAAGACATAAATTCACTGTGCCTTACTTAACTCACCATTTTCTTATTACTACCGTTCATGTGATGTGCACATTTAGAAACAGATCCAACTCCCCCCAGTGCAAGTCGGGCATAATGAGAATCACTTAGATATAGAACAACTCAGTAAACCATGTGCTTTTATTACCAGTGCATATTCATAGAGAAAACTAAATTGTATTGGTGTGACACAAACAGCGTAGGATAAAATGCTTCAGACACGTGTCAAAAAGGTGAGCCTTTGACTCTTTAAAGATGTCTGGGCTGATTAGGTGCATAAAAAACAGCAACTTCCTGGGTGACGTAACTGGTAAAATCGCATCACATCCTGCAACTCAGAGAATACACTGAGGAGGGTGAATGTTGGTGTTTGGGTGTTTAGCACAGTGCTGTGGGTAATTATGTCAGACCAAGAAGTTGCCTTCTTCCTGCACCTGGTCTCTCTTCTGCTGTGGCACCAGGTTTTCTTTTGACATTACACAGAATGAACACTAGGGGGAGGAAGAGCAGCAACAGCTCTACTGGTACAGGTTTTAGGAGTCATGGCTTGACAGTTTTGTTAAAATAGCTTACAACAGTATCATAGGCAAGTGTAAAGCGTGGATGAGTTTGCTGGCAAATGTCATCTAACAAATTATAATTTAATTTTTTTTTTCCTATCTGAAAGCCAAAAACAAATCAAATAATAATAATAAAAACACTGTAAAACAGAATTCATATTCCATCCCAATAATTTCTGTGATCTTGGATCCAGACTACATTTTCACAATTTTGTCACAGTCAGCTCCCAATGCCTCACAATCGGATACCAAAAAAAATATTTAAAGTTGTTTCATTGACATGGTCTAATCTAATTTGGATGTATTTCCTGAGATATGTGTATTTTTTTATTAGCACTTTAATTAATAAAGCTCTTTAATTGTTAAAGGCAAAAACCATCATATGAGCAGATATCTTCAGCCATTTATTCTGACCAGAGAAACCTAGAAAACATCCCAAATGAAAATAAAAATAGGTTGGAAAAGAGCTGCCCCTGTGCACAAACACTGATTGAAATTTACCAAATGTGGGGGGATTCTGAATTCTGCTTTAAGGTGAAGTTTCCCTTTAAGGATAAGGGAAAACGTGTGAAGCTCCAACGGAAAAAAAGCACATCAATTTAGAAAAATAATTTTTAAATGCTGAGCTAGTGTATAAAATAAAATAAATTAGCATTTTTCATTTTGTTTTTTCCCTTTAAAACAACCGATATTAACAAAAATGGTTATTGTGCTGCTTACATTAGCAATAAATATGACACTCTTCTTCTTTTAAGCATGTGCTGGGTATTTTTAAAACACACACTTTTTAACAGCTGCCATACACACATTAAAATCCTGGAATCCTTGACTGCTGCTCTCTGAATAGCCAAAAGGCTGTGTTTCAAAATCATAGCAAATACATACGGAGTGATCTAATATACACAATATACATTTATGTATATACAGTACATACAGCAAATCAATGCACAGATGGTGGTGACAATTTTATGTGATGTCAGTAAATGAGAAAGTTTACATTTCATTGCTGGAAAAGCGTAGCACTGTTCATTTCACTGTAAGCATTAGCTAGTTCATGAGAAAAGCAACTGATGGGTACACTGGGTTGTTGCCTGGGTATTAAGATAAAATAAAACTTCATGCATTTGGACAAGTTATGGCTCATTAAATAATTCAGTCTATCTCATACCCTGTCCAGTCTCACAGAAAGTGTGGTTTAACAATACCATCAACAGGTTTTAAAACCAGATAGCTTTATGTCCATTACTTGTCCCAAGGATGCTACATTACCCAAATTTAAAAACAATCTTCAATACACATCATGAGGAGGGTAAACTCAGACACCTAATTATATCTGGGAGATCAGCTGATGTGCACATCAAAAGGCTGTATTGGAAAGGTCATTGCACCCTGTGGAATACATTGGTTGTGTCGTTGTCAGTGCTTGCAGTGGTGACAATGGCTGTCTCAGGTCTCTACTGTAGGTAGCGGTAGACCTTAAAGCAGTGGTTCCCAGAGTCTGCCACCGCCACATGACCATCAGATGTGAGGGCCAGGCCCTGGGGGCCGTAAAGGGGGTCCGCTGTTGTGTTGATGTAGGACAGGAAGGAGCCAGAGCTGTCGAACACCTGGTTGGTTAAACAGCACAGATGGAAATGTTAGGCAAGTGTGTGATATAGTTGCTCTCTGAATTCCATGAGATACAGTTTTCCCAATCTAACCTGGATGCGACTGTTGCCCCAATCAGCAACAATGATATTTCCATTGGCATCCACAGCCACGCCTGTTGGAGCATTGAACTGGCCGTTCCCCTCTCCATGGGAGCCAAATTTAAACAGGAACTCCCCATCTGCATTGTACACCTACAGGAAAGATTAAACAGGAAAGAGAATGGGAGAATGACACTCTGTCGCACCCAGTTTAAATGAAACTGGGTGAATCTTAACGTCATTGGTGAAAGAAAAAGAAGTATAAAAAGAATGACAGTCATAACTACTGTATTCATCAATACTCCCAGCACTAAATTTGGATAACTGAACTTTTAAAAAAAAAGTAGGCAGTACAAAGCAAAGACACTGGGGGAGAGGTCTGCTGTACCTCTGGCAAGTTAAATTATTATTATTATTATATTTGTACAATATAAATATACAATATGAGTGCAGGTTTTCAATGCAAATACAATAAAGAATGTACACACATACTTGCAAAAAGCCATACCTTGACTGAATGGTTATGAAAGTCTGTAACCACAATTTCATTTTTGTTATTTACAGCCACAAAGTGAGGACCTGGAAGTAGCAGAGGAGACAAAGAGGAAAAGAGAAGAGGATGAGTCATCCACTGGTTTACAACATACGAGAGGAAGTTCCTCACTATTTTTGGACTTTGAAAAGAAGACACACAGTGGTCACAAAAAGAGTTGATGCAGGACAATATGTGAGATATGACAGAGCTGATGCATCAACATGTAAAAAGAACAAAAATTGATTTTCTTAGTTCACATTCAAAGGGGATTAATTACTTACTGAAAACAGGGCCAGATTTACTAAGCTTTTGCTCCAGTGCAATGTTTGCACCACTTTTTTCTAAAAGAAAAGAAAAGGTCCAAGTGAGAAACTAAATTGAAAGAACATGTGAGTTTCAACTGAAATACTGCAGTCTGTGCAACAACTGAAGCCATATCAATGAGGGAATCAGTACTGCAAGCAAATGATGTTAACAGTATTTTTTTTGTTGAGTGAGAGGCAAAGACAAGGAGATAATCATCACATCTTTTTCATGCATTAATGTGCATCATGAACATTTGCCTCTTTACAGCTTTGTCTTGTACTATGATGAACAGGTGCAGCACAAGAGTCTCAGTGCAAAAATAAAGAATCATTAACTGTGCATCGATGTCAAACAAGCAGCTATACATGCTTACATTTGTTAGACTCTAAAATAAATTGTGTATAGAAACATGCTGATCACTAAATAAATAAGATTGGTACAAATCATCATTTTTAAGTATGAAACATAAATAAATTCTGTAAATCTGGCCCAACCACATGCCCTGAAACATGAAGCATCATTCAGCGTGCATCTTGTCTTCCTATAAGAGACATCATTAATGAAATGATCATTTCATCATTAATGAAATGATCATACTGTAGGTAATTATGTAAATGTTACACAGTACCTGCAAAGTGTCTGTCTGATGTTCCTCTGGCTCCAAACTTTGTCACCAGCTTCCCATTTGATTGGAAGATGAAGACACAGCAGGCCTTATTATCAACTGTGATGATATGTCCATTCTTATCTACAGCCACACCTTTGGGTCCCATCAATCTCCCAGCACCAATTTTGTTCTGAGACAGCCAGAGAGATAGTTTGGTCATTCAGTGGAACATTTTGAATTTGTGCTGTCAAAACAATTTTTTTCTGACTGAGACCATTCACCTTGAACTTGCCATCCGAGGAGAAGATGCTAATCCATCTGTTGTCGTAGTCAGCTACAATTATGTCACCGTTCATGTCCACTGTGACCCCTGTGGGGCGCTGCAGCTGCCCCGGTGAACGACCTCTGACCCCAAACCTCATCTTAAACTGGCCATCATTAGAGAATACCTAGAAAAAGAGAAAATTCAATTATTCCAAATATTTGATTACATTTTTATTGTAGCTCAAGAGAATGACAGACACTTACCTGTATACACTGGTTGTTGCTGTCTGCCACCACAATCCGTCCATTACTGGAAGTTGAGATGCCTTGTAGGTTAGTGAATTCTCCTTTATCTCGCCCTCTTGTTCCTGTCATATCAACAAGGCATCAGACAGTGTCAGCACTATGCATATATAAAGATCAGTTCTGCTGTACTTTGCTTGGAATATCTTTCCATATGTTAAATTTTAACAGTCTGAACAGACAGAGGAAACAAAGGAATAACTTTTGTGCCACAAAAGAGGTCTAAAGCTGAATACTGTGGATCATCAGGTACCCAAATTATCCAGAGATATGACTGAGTGTGTGCTCTAGAGAAAAACATCAAACAGCTCAGTCAGCAGTTACCATAATTAACAGCAGACCTAACCAGTTATTCACCCACCCACTCTGTAGATCAGCTCATCCTCTATTGGGTTTTCCTTTTTCTTGGTGGTGCTGTACATGCTGGAGGGCCTGCGCACAGCCTTCTGCCGCACATGACCTCCTCCTCCACTCGGGGACTTTACTCTTCTCTTCACATCGTCTGGTGACTGCAGGACATCTGATGGTTTGACAGCACGCAAACGGAACGGACTCCCCCTCACAGGCTGTTCATATAGCAGCAAAGAGAAGCTGAATTCTCCCTCTGAGCGGATTGTATATCCAACCTCATAGGTGCCGTTCTTGTTGTCCACCACCTCAGCTTCAGTGCAAACTCCATCTGCAGAGACAATCTCTGACCTCAGAGCAGCATTACCAGTTTTCACTAGTTCTCCATCTTTGTCTTTAGTAGTGACTGTAACAGTAGTGTGCTGGCCGACCAGTGCATGTCGTAGGCCTTCACCAGTGGCAACACTAGTATGGCCTACAGTCCCTGTTGTGATCAGGACTCCCAAGTTCTGGATGGAGCGCCTGAGTCCATCCGTCTCTACCTGGCATTCCAGATGTCCATTTTCGTGGGGATGCTCTGGAAAGCTGTGTCGCGCCAGAGCACTGACCCGCTCACCCATCTGTTTCTGGACCAACAGGACCTCAGTGGCACTGCCATGGCTCAGGGCCTGCTCTGTGAAGTTACAGCTGCTTTGAATGTTCTCTTTTCCCTGAAGCAGAGATGTCAGCTGGGCTTGAAGCACCTATAAATGTCAAAATAGACAGAGGCGGGCAGTCAGTAGTGCTAAAATATGAAACATTACAGCAAATTTGAATTCTCTCCCATTAAAAAAAACTAAAATAGAAAGACCTCTGACCTTCTGCTTGGTGCTGCAGATGTTTTCGACCTCAGTAATGAGAGCATTCTTGCGTTGGTGTAAGGCCTTCTCCAGCTCGTCAAAAGTGTTACTGATTTCAGTCACTGCCTCATTTTTCCGCTCCGTAAGCTGCTTGGAGATGTCATTCACAAGCTCAATGGCAGCCGTCAGCTGAGGTAGTCTGCCATAAGAAAGAAAAGAAGATGAACACAATAAAACTTTTAAATTAGCATTCTTTATATTCCCAATATTTCCAAGATCTTCTAAATACAATCAGATAATTATGTATTAAAGAACTAAAAAACATACCTGTTGCGCACAGCGTCCAGCTGATTTTTAAGTGCTGACTTGTGTTGTTCCAGCACATCCCTCAGAGGAACTGTCACATGTTCCCTATGTTCTCCTTCTGTACACTCCAGACACATGGCTGTTTCACATGACTCGCAGTAAAACTCCATAACCTGCAGATGGTGCAGTGGAGCACAAGACAACTCAACATCATATTTCTGTGGGTAAATTTGCTTATAAATTCAAACACATTTAACAAACAAATATTGAATATGAGATCTTATAATAGCGCACAATGTTGTCATGAACTTGGGATCTGACCTGCTACACTATATGCTACCCACTATATAACAGCCTCTGTCTTTCTGTTAGCTTACCTTGCCCTCATGGTTGGGACAAGAAAGGGGCTGACAGGCTGTAGCTGCACTGGCTGACTCAAGAACATTACAGGCCTCAGGTCGGCTGCACTCTGGGTCTCGCTGTAACACCTCCATTAGGTTTGTGATGAAGAAGTTGTTCTGCAGTGCTGCCACACCCTTCTCTGGTAAAATAGAGGTCTGTCTGCATACTGGGCAGGACAGCGTCAATGACTGGGGAGGGATGTAGTTCTGTAGACATCTACATAGAGACAAGATGAAAAAGAGATTAATTAGGGAGCTGAAGATTCAATTTAGCACCTATTCCACGGTCAACATGGTGTAAAAATGAAAAGCTTTTCTATTAGACTTGCTCAGATGACAATAAGATTACATATTTAACTGGGCACAATAGACAGCACCAGATTATTTAAATAACTGTACTATCTGTCCCATGAGGGAGCAACAGAGCTGTGGAAATCAGTGCTTGCTGCCAGCAATGCTGTGCCATTAAGAATGCTGTCTGTTTTCTTGTGGCCAAGCTCAGAGTGGTTGGTGCCTTACATCATGCAGAAGCCATAATGATGAGAGAATAGTAAGTGGTGGTGTGGTGTGATTTTAGACATCATTCTAAAATTTCTTTACATCGCTTAAATGCATTGCAGTTAAAGAACTTACTGCGGGAAGAGGGGATACACAAATATTACAACACACTCAACTATGATATGGCATTTCTTATGTGCTCATTTTCTGAATTAAGCATAATATTTAATGCATAAATTGTAGTACTAGTATCTTGTTATAATATGATTGAATGCAGTTTGAATGAGCTTATTAGATTTTAATTTTGTATTGTTTTTATTTTTATTGTCTCACACTGTTTAACTGTTTATCTTTCTACTGTCACATTAATCTTAATCAGTCACATATAGAGCTGCATTGTATTAAAGGTGCTGCACAAATAATGTCCAGAATTCAAAATTCAGAGCTTACTTCTCACAGAAGGTGTGCAGGCAGGGCAGGACCTTGGGGTTGTGATAATGATCCAAACAAATGCTGCAGACCAGGAACTGCTTGTCTATCTGCCTGACCACAGGGCTGGTGCTGCCAGTCTCACGCTTAGCCATAGTGACGGACATTCAAATGGGGCACAGGGACCACTTAACCTGCGCACACAGGGAGGAAGAAACAGGAGAAAGGTCAAGAAAGCCTTGAGGAAACGTTCAGCCAGGGTGAGGAGGGCGTATTCGCTTACCCTCAGCATGAGCAAAGGAAGAAATGAGTCATAATGCTGTTAACATTACAAAACCTCATCCAAGTCCTGTATCTGCAGGCATTTGATGCTCTCTCTCTCTCTCTCATTTATTAAACTGTGTCAGTAGGATAAGCTTCTTTTTTACAAACATCCGCATAGCCAGAGGTTGTTTGACTTTATAAGTGAAAATCCTAATCAAGCAGTGGAGGAGAAATGAATACATGTGATTAACACCACAGGGCAGAACTCTCAGCCATGACAATTATGCAGTCTAGGAGCCAACATGTCTCTGTTTACAGTGGTGTTAGAAGTGTAGTAGAAGTGTACAGAAAAATGCTTTAACAAAAAATGCTTAAATGCATCTTGTGCAGTTTTCATGGCAATATTTCTCCATACAACATTTCTTCTGTTTTATTGTTTAACATCTGTTGAATTCCAGATGAGTGGATGCCTGCTGGTTCTCTGTTCAGATGAGAGTAGTTGTTACATGAAATTGTATCACTGGGTCATGCACAGATTATCTCAGTGTGCCAATGACATGTTGTACATCTGTCATATTCTACATAAGCACATACAGGATTACATGAACACCGAAACACACTGCTTTAATGTGAGCAATAAACACTACTTACGAAGCCCTCTAAACCTAAACCTTTAGACCTCTAAACACCTGGAGACTGCATTGTGTTCCTTGAGTGAGAACTCTCCATACAGTTCATCTAGATGTCATTATAGAAAAATGGAATTTAAAAAGGGAGTAGCCTACTTATATGAATTCTAATTCATTGGCAATTCATTGTTTCAAACAAAAAGCAAATAAATCCAATAATACATGTAAAACTTTGAAAAATCTTGGTTAACTGAGAAACTAACAGGCACCTTTTTTCTCTCTTTTCACTTTCTTTCCATCTTCTCTGTAACACTAGTAAGCAACATCCTGCCAGATTATGTTCTTATGTGAGCAATATATAATTTATGTGTAGTCAAAAAAGCTCAGTTACTTACAAAACCCTCCCCCCCAAAAAAACAGAGACTGTTCAGTTGGCTGAGTGAGATTTGGCTGATTTAATACATAGCCCAAATGTCACTGGAAGCTATCCTCCTCTGCAGTTCACTGTGTCAATCACTATTATATTTGGAGAAGAACATCTGAAATACAGTGAAAACCACTTCCTAAGAAAATAATATAAAACCTGGGAGATATCTATGAGAAAAGGTGAACTCTGCTTAGTCTACATTCAGATTTATAGATTAAGATACAACACAATGACATAATATGCATGAAGTTGTAGTGCAGTCACAACCATTGTATTTGACTTGATTCAACTAAATAAACCTAAAAACAACCTAAACCTAAAATGAGACCAGGTCCAGTGTTTATCCCCAAAACACTATGGAAAAGAATGTAGTAGATTATCTGTAAATGAGTCACTGATGATATTGATAACTCCCAGATTTATGTAGCTGAGAAAGAATTTAAGCAAACCAAAAGTTGATCATATAGATAAGAATAAAGAACACCATACTTATTGCAATACCGCAAGGACACAGGAAATCTAAAACACTAGTGTGCACTTTATATAAAAACGTATCTACACAACTGAGACTATTAATGTTGTATGACTGCAATTATTAGTATTCCGGTAAAGAACAATGTCTAATTAATCCTAAGAAAACACTCAAACCTTTCCTTTCCTTAGAAATGTCAACTCACCCATCACCTCTTCATGAGTCACAGCCCTGTGACTGTACAATCCGTTAGCCTAGCCTCATCTTTCATCCACTGTTCCACCAGCAGGGTTTGTAATTTCTACGTTGAGGTTGCATTCACACTACTCTTCTCTGGCATGGGAGGGTGCTAATTATCAGGCCTGCACAGCACCTAGCACCAAGAGCTAAAGTTTCCTTCCCTGGTCTTCAGCTTTGAGCAGTGCTTTGACAAATATAGCTAGGCCCCTTTTCTTTGAGAGTAAAGAGAGGAAAGAGGAAGCTTTAAAACGCCACTCCCAGAATTCCTACTAGTTCCTTCCTTTGACTCCCAGCTGGCTGAGTTCAGGCTCCACCTGTCTGTCTGTGGGGAGGTGGGGGGAAAATTTACGGTGAACTGGGTTGCCTGTCTCACATGAGCAAGTAGGCCTCAGAGGCAGCTGTCCCTCCCTGAGACACAGAGCAGCGAGCTCTAACAATGACATTCCAGCTTTGCTCACAGCCCACCACCCCACATCTCTCCCCCCACATTCATCTCTTTTCCTTCTTTCTATTGTCCTCTCCTTTTTCCCTTCTCTCTGTCTCTCTACCACATAAATGCACTCATAGCATCAGCAGGCCTGATCTCTGCCACAGACGTCTTGCAGATGGGGATTTTCTCAAGCACGCAGGCCCCATTGTGATTACAAGGCCTACTGACTAAGGAGCTCTGCCGAGCCCTTTCACTGTCCACACAACCAGCACTTCCCCAGCCCTCTTTGGCTCCCCCTCCCCTTGTCTCCCCTTAAAAGCCCTCCCCTCCCTGGGCTGTCTCCCTTCATATGGACTCTGAATTGCAGCAGCTGAACGGTGACATCAGGAGGAAGGTTGAGGAGCCAAAGCCCTCTGGCTCCTCCCCTCTCGGCTGGCTGGCCACTGCTCTTAGGGTTGCAACCGTATCCCCCCGCCTTCCCTTCCTTTCCTCCCTGCCAGTCCATTCTCTCACTAGACCTTCTCGGCAGAGTTCCTCCCACTCGCCTCACCACAGAAAGAGGATCTTTCTTTAAAAAACAGTCTCTCTCTGACAGCAGCTCTGGGTAGTTGTGCATGTGCTTAGAGAAAAGCTAACATGCACGAATAATGCATTGAAAAATTAACAGAGAACGCAAAAACAATGTCAATTAAAACACTGCAGAAGGTTTAAAGATAAAACTTTACATGCCTGTACAAGGGTTCAGTTATTCCAAGATATCTGTATAGTAAAATCTTCCTAAAACTGATATAGCTAAAAATAGCAGAAGTAATCCGTGAGTGGCGATAATAAAAATAGCTCTGATAGAAATGTTAGACATACAGTAATAGTGAGAGTAGAATACAGACCAGAGAACTAAATCTGCACTACACTGTAATGTTTGAGGCAGCATGTGACTAGGTCCTTTTTGAGGCTCTGTCACGGGAACTGCATGATCAGCAGTTCATACAGATGAGGTCAGTTATCCAAGTAAGTATGCATGGAACTGTGTTTTATCTGTACTGTATCTGTATCACACATGGATGCCTGCAGAAAATCCACTAAATGTGAATGTTGTTTGTGTTCAGCTGTTTGACTGCGAAGCATCTCTTGCCACTCTCACCCTGCATTACAGTTAAGTGGCTTAATGTCCTCCTGCAGGGTCAGGCCCTGTCTGCCATCTGGATTACAGTGTCTCCCAGATTCTGATGACACCACCACGCCCAGTTAGAATTAAAGCAAACGCCTCACATACATGCACATAAACTTGGCTCGACACATTACTCAAATGCTTTTACACCAGTGAAGCAGTGACAGTCATTGCTTGTTCATAGATTAGACAATAAAGGGATATTCTATACTTGAAGTGAGTTGTTTGTGTTTTTCTTGAAGACACGAACATCTAGTATAAATAGTTAGATTCGATTTCAGAAACATGAGCTCACAGCCAGAGAAAACATTGCTTAATCTGCTTGGACTTTGTCTGCTACATGAGGGCAGGTAGCCATGCCCTGCTCTTCAACTCTCCCATACAGTGCTGCCTGTTTTTATAGCTGTGGATTGTGTTGGACTAGAGAGCTGCCATGCTTTCAGCAAATTATAACTCTAAGGCTTTTCTGTCCTCCATAAGACAAAAAGTAATGACTCATGTCTGCTATTGCAGTGCATTTCACTACTTTGTAGAGTGAAATTATTAAAGAAAGATGCTTTTTGCCTTGTGACTAATAGATGGAATGAGTGATGTTATCTTTTGTGGATGAGAAAACGTTCCACTTAGAATCACCCAAAAAGTCAGACTGAACAGATGATCTACTTCTCTCGCCCACAGTTTTTTAAATATTTATGAGAGCTATTACATAAGATTCAGTGGAAAGACCCTACAGAATATGACCTCTTGGGTAAGTCAGACTGCTCTCAAAGTGTGATCCCTTAAAAGTTTAACTGAGTAACTGGGACGTGGCTCTATAGAAAGACATGTTCCTGCTCCTGTTTGACTTGCTATATATATTGTAATGCCAAATAAATGGAATCAAAACAAAATGGTCTTCTTAGCTTGATATTCAGGTTGGGTATGATCATTGATGATTTAAATCATCATTATAATATTGATAAGATATTTTCTGATTTCTCTACATATCATAATACAGAAAATGATTGCAAAATCAGACTAATTCAAAGTAATTAATTGTGTTCCCCTGTTAAACACGTGTCTATTTTATACATTTTTACAATGATATTATTGTTCCACTGTTGATAAAAGAAACAATAAGTTGGACACTGGCCCTTTAAGCAGGCTGTATTTTGTAGATTGTTCATATCATTCCCTTGCTATGACTATTCAGGATTCCAGGATGTTTGCACTTCAAGGGCCATAAAAAGTATTAATTTCCCCTTCTATTCCTTTTCCCTGTTTGAGTAAGAGGCATGCGCCTTTTTTCCCAACTGCATTTAATATTCAGTTAGTCTGTGTTACATTATATGCAAAATTATTTGGAATAGGTCCTATGTAATTCTGTTCCTGCCCAGCTATATCTGCTGCATATATTCACAGCTGAGGGGACTTCAGAATAAAGCGATTTCCAACAGTTTATTTCAGCAGTTAGCTGTGTGCTAGACCAGTAATATGGGCGAAAGTCTCAGTGACCTGAAGAAAGAAGTGTTGGCCCTCGATGATGTGCAGTCAAGATTGAGTATAAATATAGACTGTTTATGTTTCCATCCACATCTGTTGTGTCCCTGCGCATGTGTCAACATACAGTGACTGTTCCTGCATACACGCCTGAGCTGAACTAGCCAAGATTTAACTTTGTATAAACTCACCATTACTGATTTTGTTAAGGATTGTAAGGAAGAAATATCTGTGTTCGACTGAGAAAGAGTGAAATGAGAAGAGAGTAGAAATGAGGAAGAAGGTTTTGTACCTGAGATTTTACATTTTACACAAATGTGAAACTTGTGATCTTTATGTCAGTTTGCAGCAATAATTAATTGAATCTAATTCAGACACAGGTCAACCATGACTGCATAGTCCCATTTGTACTAGAAATAACAATCCAAAGAGCCCTTATACTGAACAAGACATCCAGAGAACCACATTTCTGTGTTTTGGACAGTGTTATGGGGCTGTTGTGGGGCCAGTGAGGGGTCCCTGGCTCTATGATGACTCATCAATCATTATTCACACAACACAGAAACCTCTGCTCCTCAAACTAACAAGCTCCCCTTACACTTCACTGCACCAGATGAAGGAATCTGTCTCACTGCATCAGTCTCTGTCAGACTGGTCATAGCAGTGGACATTGAGTTTCACATAATGAAAGAAAAACAGTCTGTGGACATAATATATAAGAATAGAGAACAGATGACACAGCTATTTGAACCATTGTTTTCATGGAGCTCATCTTATCCATAACTGGGCTCAGGATTAATATTTATAGTTCATGCCTGCCTGACTTTTCAGTGCCTGATCAAAATTGGCTGTCCAAGTCTGTGCATTAGGAACATTGAAAAACTATACAAGGACTCTAACTGTAAAGTGCAATTAGTTACTGTACTTAAAAAGACTAATGGTGTAGCTGTCTTTCATCTGCCTTTGTTTGCAGACATTGACATTAGATTGATTACATCTGACAACTAATGAGAGAGGACGAGACAAAGTGACCACACCATGTCAAGCATAGAAGTCAGCAGAGTTTTTAATCAACACTGACACAGAAAGGGAGTCAGGAGACATCTGTGTCTCTCCTTGTGTCTCTCCCACTATCACAAAGGCTGGCAGAAGACAATGCGGCATGCAGGCAGTTTGTCTGCAAGCACAACATACACTGCAGATTTTATAAAAGGTTGATTAGTGCACAAGCACAGGCCCCTGCCTGCGACCCTTATCCACCTGCAGTAAGAGCTACAGAGTGACTGTGACGACTCATGCCAACTCAAATGGTCACACGATGTCTTGTACATGGCAAACACATTGAACTGGATCTGATTTTGGTGTGACAGTTTGCGGTGCAACACAAATATTTAGTTTGATTAAATCAAGAAAAAAGACGGCACTTGGGAATTGTGGGAATTCTAACTCAATAACAGAGATTTGTGTTGCCTTGTATTTACTTTAATTGTCTTATTAGTCTGTTGTGTTCGTTAATCTAATATACTGCTTAATACTAAAATAAAGATGGCATTCAAGTTCAGTTGCTGTAGTTTTAAAGATGAAATAAACCATTAACACTAGTTTTAAAGTTTTTCATCCTGAAATTATTGATGTAAAGCTTAGACTGAGAAATATTGCCCACAGAGTCTCGTCTCCTGTTCATTACAGACTGTATAGACACATTATTATTGCTCATGTGACTACATCCTTCTTCATTAGGTTAAGTTATACTGATGCTGCCTCATGTACAGAACATAAAGAAAATGGCTTCAACCTGTGAAAGTGCTGACTTTAATGAAAATGGCCACGCCTGAACAAATGGTTCAGGAAAATCCATTTCAAAGGAGGACAAATGACATAGGCTAATGATTGGATTTGATCAAAGTGTGGACCAGTACATACAGTACAAGGATACAATAAGTTCTAGTCAACATAATATGCAGTTACTGTTTTGAAAGTGATAGAACAATCTTTGTTGAGGAAGTGATTTAAAATGGAAATTTGTCTGTACTTTCTCATAGACCAATTCTACAGTCAGTCTTTGTTGTAATGCATTGGCCAATTAGATTTGTTTTTTTACAGACCCTATGATGATCAGTAATAAAGGTTTAGAGAGGGTAGTATAACGATCCAAACTTAGGTATAGCATTAAATTATTTCAACATATATTCAATTTGATCATATTCATTCATCATTGGTTTGTACCATTTGATTTCAGTGCACTGATTAAGAAATTGTCCCCAGTAAAAGTTACTGTCATGAGCCTCATTTACATGAGGGTAATGTAACCTGTAGATTAAGTCATTAAATCATTAAGGACTAGGGTCGAATTATCCTGATTAATCAATCCATCCATTAATCAATTCATCAGTCTGTCTATCTTCGCTTTTGTGGAATTGATTTTGACAAGTAGGGTCCAGGTACATCTTCATTTCTGCCACATAGCTGTATTCAAAGGTTGTATCTTGTCACTTCTAAGCTACAACCCTGTTCCTGGCAGCTTACACTTGGTCTTTAGTTCAAGGTTTACAAAGATGCATTGAAACAATTTGAAACAAAGAGTACTGGAACGCTCAGCATAGCACCCTTGTTTGTAACACAGTTCTCCTACACATGCTGCCAGTACTGTCTACCTAACGGACACTAGACATAATCCATCAGACTTCAAGCCTATGTATACAAACTGAATGAAACCCTGAAGCCCTGAGACAGACATGTAACCCCTGCTAAGTATCTGCCCCCAGGCACAGCATCCAGGACCGTCTGCAGCCTTCTTGTGACCCTGTGCAGGCAGCCAGCAGAGAAAAACCAGCCAAGCATTCCCATCAACTGCAAACATGTGACTTTAGAGATAGTTTAACACAAAGATGAGCCATCTTCCAGAACAATAGACCAATCAATAAGGAACCGCTGAACCATCTGCTCACAGCCTAGGCCAGAGGTATGAAAATTATGCATTGGCTGTTGCTGCAGTACAATGCAACACCAGGACTCAGAGAGTGACATAAGCAAACATGCTGATTCACATGTGGCTCACATAGCTTCCCAGCAATATACCCCATACAAATTCAGATCAGAAAACCAACGGAAGATCACTAATCCTCTAAACAAAAGAGGATGTATGCTTGATTACAGAGCCCAGCCCTCAGACTGCAGCATAAATGCCCACCTGCTACTGAGCCGGCAGCCAGGGCCGCCTAGGAGCTAAAATGGAGAAGTGTGTGGGCTGGTTGAGGAAGCAATAAAGAATCAGAGCAGTAGAGTGTTTTAGTGCAACAGTTGCTCTTAAACGAGGATGAAATAAAATGCTTTTGCTTTATGCTTATCATGACCGATGAACAAAAAAAACCAGAACAAATCACAACAGAGAGGACATCAGAGTTAATAAGTACAATCCCTGCGATTCACCAATGCACAGATGCTGGATGGGATGGAGTAATTAATTATTCATCTGCTCTCATCCCAGTTATTGTTTTATTTAGGACTCCAGATAATGGCACAAACAAGATGAGAAAGCAGAAATACGATACCATAAAAAGAAGTGAATGGCTAGATTGTACTCACATGAATTCCCAGCAGGAGGGAGTGGAGTGTCAGCATTGCAGGCCGTAGAGAAAGCTTCCCATTGTCAGTGTTCCAATCTTCTACAACAAATCCACAGACCGGGCGACAGAAAGGAAAGGGCAGGGTCTGTCTGGGAGAAGAAGGGGACAGTAAGGAAGAGGGGAAGGGAAAGGAGGAGATTAGGGGAGTGGCTTACATGCAGCATTGGTCAGATGGCTGATGGGAGGAGCTGAACTACCCAATAGCATATGAAGGGGGCAGGGAATATGCAAAACAGTTGAAATCTCAGGAACTGACAGAGGAATACTGACTGTCTGGTGCAAAGGGGTTTGGCTTCCTTAAATACCGCCCAGTTCCCTTAAAAGGACAAAGGATGCAGATTATTACCTTTAAGCTTTGAATTATAAGGAAAGACTTATTGTATTGGTTAAAAATAAAAGGGTTATACTTCTGAACAAAACAATCAGGCAAAAATATCATGTTATATTGTCATGAGGTCCCAGTTTCTTTCATTTTAAACATTAAACGGGAAAACTGTTAAATTACTATGTAGAGTCTATGACGGCAGAGAAATGAGAGGGTGGAGGGGAAGGCAGAGAGATGGGTGTGTGCATGTGGGGGAGTCCTGCTTGATCTGGTATAGATGATACAGTTATTTGGGTGGAGTTAGGTGGTGGTATGGGGGTTGGGGTCATGGCAGTTTATAGTCTTCTGGAATAGGTAACAATATAGGCTATTTGAAGAAGGGAGGATATTAGATTTCCACTTATAAATGCAAGAAACTGACATTTGAAGAATAAAGCAAAATTCTCAAGCTTAAACTGAATGGATGCTCATCTTCCACTCTGAAGGTTTATTTTTTCAGGAGTGGGGGATGGGTCAACATGTGCTCTAGGTGAAGATTAATGAGAGGGAAGATGACATAGAAAGGGATGAATGAAAAAAGATGGCACTATATTGCAATTTGGATGCACTGTGTGAGGCTGCTGTGGTGGTGCAGGCGGTGGGGAGTTTGTTGGGGGTGGGGCTTGGGGTGAGAGGCAAACACAGTCATCTCTGGGTTTTATTCTGCAAAGTGGAGTTGCCATGGAGACTGCTTCCATCGTAGTTTAGTCAAGATGGCTGCTGCAGTCTGGCAGAAGCAGCAGCAGCAGCAGCACAGTGAGCAGGTCACACAATACATACTGTAGGTAACTCTCACTGCAGAGACTGCTACAGTGAAACTAGCGAGAAGAATCCTAATTTCTTACTATTTCATCACACATTCCTATATTATGAAGAATATAATATTATGATATGTTAGATTTGCTATGGCTAAATCATATTTTTTTTAATCTAGGCTACCCATTATTGGAAAGATTTTCTTCATGGCTGTCTCTAACAAATGATAATTGCCAGATATTGCAGTTACTTAAGATAGATACCTAAATAATGTAATAAATCAAACCGTAGACATCATTGTTACTGCAGGTGTATCACATTTTGAACAAATGATGCAACAATACAAATAATCCAGTAATAAGGTATAATTTCTTATAGACACTCCTTATTATTGAAATGCCCATTTAAAATTTAATTATGCAATTATATTAAATTATTATACATCATTATTGTCATTTTAGATGGTATTTTGATAGAATTTTGTTAACTCATTTTATGGCTCATGTAAGAATACAGATAACAAGATCAATTCAATTCTTCTATTTGTGCCCTTTATCTTAAACTGAACTGAAAGGCATTACATGGCTATGTAATTTCAAGAGCAAGTAGGAAAGAACAATAGTATTTCTACTGTGGAGTTCAGAATTACTATCATGAACGTCAAAACTAGCCCCTCACATGAGTGGGATGGATAGATAGATCAGATGACCCTTAGAGTTACTCCTCAACAACAGTTTTCTAACTGTAGGACTGTCAGCAAACATTACTGTCATCGTAGAGCCCTATAAAAATGTGGTTGATATTTCTATTTGTTAATAAAAATGTAAGATGTAAGTACTCTTTGAGAGTAGAGTCAACTGTTCACTTCAGTGATCTTCTCATTGTCATAGATATTTATTTACCACTCTCACTGATTAGAGATATCATTACAAAGACTTTGAAATCCGCACAGTTTAGTGACAATGTTGTTTGTTCCTCTGTAATTTCCATGGCTATCTATTTAAGTCTATTTCATTACAAAGGGAAAAAAAGCATGCCGTGAGCACAATACTAAATAGAAAGTTATCTTTTATACCCTGTTGTAACACTTCAGTCAGAAAATCCTAAAAGAGCTAATTATTCCAACTGGTATCAACTCCTACATGTTTTGGCACAAGCTGTGGCTTCACTGACCCTTGTGAAGACACGGGGGTTGTTGCCTGGCACTGCAAAGAGCAGTGTTTTCCCATTTTAATAGGCTACCTGGTGTTGGCCATTCAACCATGGTAATCTCTTCCCAAGTTAATTTGAGATCAGAACCTTTCACTTTGCCACTAGAAGTCCATAGTCCAGCTCTACTCAAATACAGGCTGCCTTTGTAACACTGACCCATTTAAGGCCAAAACAATGGCTGAATTGAATAAGACCCTGAAAGCAACCCTAAGCTTCTGCATTGTTCATATGATTATGAGACAATAACAGAGGAAAACATCAAGTTCATCAATGCAAAAAAAACAAAAACATTGAATTCAAGAATTTACAGAACAAGTAGTTATTTATATTTTAAGTATCAAAAATAACAATCGAACCTATATTTTACATACAGTTTGATTTATCTATGCTCTCCTATACTTAAACTCAACATTCATGTACTTTCTCAATACATTCTTCATTGTATATGCTAATCCAGACAAGAAACACTCACTGTAAACATTGACCTATTTATCCACCTGATGAGGAACGCCATACTGTTAAGGGAATATAAATAATATATATAATTATATATAATATATATAATGCATAGATAAAAAATGAGGAAAAAAACATTTACAGCGAGTGCACCCATTGTTCTTTTGTTTACTAAACAATGTACAGATTGCCTGGACATCAACAAAACCCCTACTTTCTGAGCAACAGTTTACCATGCTGCTGTTACATTCTGCCATCTAGTGGTACAACATACAATTATGTCCTTTCTCTGTCAAAAACATTTTCCAACAACTTTCTGCGAACCCTCTTTCCATCTCTTTACAACCTCATTTTCAATTTACAAAAGTAACATTAAAAATAACACTACATCATCACCATGATGAGTTAATTACAAGTAACACTAATGTGCTTCCCTGACTTAAAATTTTACATTTCTCAAAGCTTATACACCAGAGTCAGTGCTCTTGTGGACAGTTTCCTTGCTGTTCGGCAGTTTGCTTATATCGCCGAGACGTTTTAAAAAGCTAAAAAAAAGTCCAGAGGTTTCAGTCTTAATCCATGTACTCTTGGGGGGGGTATTTTCACTATTCCTCTGCAAGTGGCTGCCTGTGGGCTCCATAGATTTGCCCTCTTGGTTTTGTTCCCCAAGCCGTTCATCTGGAATGTGAGCTACAGAAACATCTGGCTTGCTTTTCTTTTCTGCTGATGGAGAATTCTGTTCTTGAGCACCAGATTGTTTTAAGTTGTGAGCTATGTCAGTAAAGTCAAACACTTGTTTTGAGGGATTATGTCCAGCACCCTCTGCTAGCATTGGCCCCTTTTCTCTTGCTGCAGAATTAGGAGTTCTGACAGGAGGCTGAGCCCACAGATTATCCTCCTCTTCCTCAGTTTTCGGCACTTTGGTAGGTAGGGTATGACGGCGGCCAAGGTTACGTTTTGAGGAGGACTGAGGGTTGAGTAAAAATTTGACTAAATCCTCATTGGTTGGGTCTCCAGGATATCTCTCTGTAGCCTCATCGAAGGTGCGTTGACGAGGCAAGACGGTAGTTGCACCGGGAGATTTTAGATTTTCCATAGTATAGTCCATGGATGAGGCACTGCCACGGCTGTTCTGAAAACGCAAAACCTTTTTAGATGCCTCACGCAACTTTTGGGCCTCCTCCTCATTATTGTCCTGTAGATCTTCCTCATCATCATCAGTGGTGGCTGAGAACGATCTGGATGAAATGCTGGTGGTCCTATTGGCTGGGTGTGTAAAACCTCTAGAGTCCTCTTTTCTGGAAGTTTTCATCTCTTCCTCATGAGGAATGCCACCTTTTGCCTTGTTGTCCTCACTATTAGACTGGGCTTTCTTCACAGAGTTCTCTGTGAGTTGAACTGCTGAATTCCACTCTTTTCTGCCAATCTCCTTGACTCCAAAAGAGCCTCCTGTCTTTTGATTTCCAGTGGGGAGGTTTACCTGAGAAGTAATTTCCGATAGGCTCCCGTTGTTGGGGCTGCCTCTTGTGGGGCTTCCCTGAGAGGATGAGGGCCTTCCGAGTCTCCTCCGAGAGCCTCGATTGGTAAGGAAGTTCTGTAGGACGGATTCCAAGGCAATTCCATCCATTTCCTTGTCCCTACTGGAACAGGTAGCTGTGGACCTGCGTTTGGTAGAACACTGCAATCTGTCTCTGTGTCTCCGCTGCACCTCTGCCACTTCTCGAGCCTTGTTTTCCTGCAGAAAATCACACAGTTAATGGATCAGACAGGTTTTTTTTTTTTACCTTTTTTAAGTAAAAAATGCTAGTATACAAGCTTACCTGCATGGCCCGCATAAATTTCTCACAAAACGAGTTGAAAATGGAGCAACATTCATCTAGTTTGAATTTTGTTGGGTCTTCACAGAAGTACTCTGCCACAGAGTCACTCACTGACTGCAATTCCTGAAGATCAGCCTCTATCTCTGCCAAGCAGACCTCAGCCTCCTACGTGGAGCCCAAATCAAAACATTAGAACATGTAATTCACACACACAACAACAATTTCCTAAGAAAAGGCTTCCTTACCTTCAGAAAGTCCTCCATCTGTGCCTTTAGGTCTTCCTGCTTCAAGGTGTCCGCTTTAGCATTTTGTACCTTCTTTACCTGTCTTTCAAACTCTGCTTCAATTTCACCTTTATTTAATCTAAAATAATGAAGAAAATGATCAATTCTGATGGTGCAGCAAACAAAAAGAAGGTTAAAATATGCTGAGTACCTTTAAATCAAGATTGTTTACCTTGCTGCAGCTTCAATGTGTTCGAGTTGTTCTGGAAATTTAAGCAGTTCCATGTCTGCCTTCTGAGCTTGCTGTGGTGAATACGAAAGTATGTATAAAAATCACATTTCACAAACATATCTTAAACTGACTCTATATTGTAATCAGACTAAAGTAATAAAAGCTACTTGCCATCACAACATAATGCATAAGATTCATTCCAGGTTTGTTTGCTTTGGTGTCCACTAACTTCAGCAGAGAAGCCATTCGGAAGCCGATGGCACTGCCTGCATAACCACCCTGTTATCAAATAAATTAAATGAGATTCAGAGATGCACCGACACAAAGGAAAGTCATCCAAGACTCCACTATCATAGATTACACACTCACCGCATTCATGTAATTTCCAGTCTTCAGTACCAGGCGAATGACAGAATGAAGATGATCAGACTCCAAGAGCTCTAAAAGAAGACACAAATGGTCAACTCTAAGTCTATATGGCTTTACAACTCTATTTTTGCACACAATCTGTTATGAGTTTTATCTATTTAAAATCCAGGAAAACTAACAATACCCTTTCCAGCAGATGTCAAAGTGCCAATGAAATCTCTCATTTCATCCATGAGGGGGAAAAATTCCTCTTTGAGCACCAAGCTGCTGAGGCGCTCTTCATAACTAAAAGACACAAGGTTTCCATCATTAGCAAACGACCACTGACATTTAACATTTGCAATGCATGGAATTACATTCATACAAGTAACTCACCTGGGAATCTTGACAAGCATTACCATAAACAGGTCTGCATCAGGGAGGGCGAAGTGATCACCCTTAAAGTTGACCAGCTGCTTTTCCTGCATTTATTGAAAGAGACCAAAAAAATCCCACAAATATTAAAACCAGACTGTGTTTTTTGATGGAAAATTACGGCCAACAATTAGAAGGAAATTCATATATAGCTGACAAACGTACCTCCACTTCATCTGGAAGCAGCTTGCACAGCTCCCTCAGTTTTCCAGAAGGAAAACTGAGACTACTTCCTGATTTAATTTCTTTAATCATGTCTTTTACAGGCCTGTGGAGGGAGGTGGAGAGACAGACAGGGTTCAGATCTTTAGCACAAATTATCTTGATGTTTTGGTTTAGGGTTGGGACTTTTAATGAGCACTGTATGCCTATGTTAATACCACATGTTTGCAAGTTGGGCTGCTGACACCAACAAGCCTCTACCTGCTCAAATAGCTTTGCGAAATAGCTTCTGATGTGAATCCCCAGAAAAACACTGTGCAGGGCATTAGAATGATAAAATATATTTGACAAGAAATACGTTTTCAGTTGTTGTGTTCATGTTTTGAGGCCATCATAACAATTGTATTGTGATTTTTCTATTTCCTGTTGCATATGCCAAGTAGCCTTGGGCAATACATTTACAATACAGTGAGGTAACCTGTTGGAGCTGTAAAACAGTGTAGATCAGACCTGCCAGGACATGTTGGGTTTCAAAGGCTTGTGAGCATGAGGCAGCCCTGTTGCAGATTAATCTATCTGCCTCGTCTTGTGTTGTTTTAAAGAGGAACACGACAAATGTTGTGCAAAAACAATCACACCTTAAAAATACTGTCACTGACTCACCGCTTGAATTGCTTTAGGAAAATTCCAATGTTCATGCTCCTCTTGGAGCTGAGGATGGAAACCTGGGAGTGGAAACAGAAACAGACCTGGATATAATCAGCTTGTCAGTTGCTAAGATAATTTCACTATTGGTTTAAGCAGTGTCTTTTGTATTCCAGATACCCAGCTTTCCAAACAGACAGATGATTCCAAAGGTTAAGAATTCTTTGAGTTGACTGTATTGAACAATCAGGGAAAACATACAGTTTTGCATAAGTGATCAGTGTCTCGCTTGGAAAGAGGGACATAGGTCAAAGTAAAAGTTAAATAACAGATTTTAACCCACTTTTGTTATACAAATAGCATCGGTTGATCTACAGAGTAAATGACACTGCAGATTAGAAATAGATGTGAAAAAAATCTGGTAACTTAAGACTTGTCTTTAAATGAATGACAATAAATGCAGTTTATTATAGTAGCTTGAATACAGAGCAAAAGTAGGGTACTAAACAGAATAGGGCTGTATGAGGACACAACCATACCTTCCTTTGGCAAACAGATATGAAGAATAGTGAGACTCCACCCTTGCATTGAGTGATTCTAAATTAAAACACAGTGTTGTTCAGACTTTCTTATTACTACTCTGGCAATGCAATATTATTACAAAATAATAACAAGAGTTTTAAGAAAATGATGTTCCTAAAGTATCACTTTAGCCTCATTCCCTATAAATATAAATTGTGATTTTGGCATTATGCGGAATGAGTTAAACAGAGGAGGTCTTTATCCACATCCAATGTAATAGTGTTATTTTAGGTTTTAGCTGAGGGAAACATTTTAAGAATGTTTCCTGTTTATCTCGACTGCATGCGTAGAAAAAAAAATCAATCCAGCTCAAAAGAACTTTGTCTGGATATCACAGCCTTGCACAACAAAAAACACCAAAAAATTAAATCTATTCAAGTGTCACTCTGATTCAGCAAAGTGTGACATCCTGTGGCTGGTTCTACTCACCATTTCCCCTCCTGAGGCAGCAGTTGGCAGCCCCCTCAGACTCTGGCGGTTCAGGGCCTTGAGTTTTTGCTGGTCCTGCTTGTGGCTGAACAGCTCCTCCATGTGAACAGTGTCCAGCTCATATTCCCCATCAGTCTTATCTGCCGTCCAGATGTTGTGCTTTCCAATCACACTGTGTTTTGGAAGGGTTTCCCAGTTGAAGTTGCGCATCCTGGAGCTCCGGCGGGCCCCCTTCGCAATGAGGCCCGTGCCATTTAGGAATGGAGGGAGGCCAGGGGCTGGGGGTGGAGGTGGAGGAGGAGGTGGGGGTGGGGGGAGGAGGTGGAGGCGGTGGTGGTGGTGGTGGTGGCGGAGGTGGCGGAGCGGGAGGACCTCCTGGTTGCATCTTTTGTCAAGGAGCTCTCAGCAGGTTTGGGATGCTATCATGGTCTCAGTCAAACTTACAGGCAGGATTAAAGCCAATAAAGAATTTGCAGTGAAACAAAAGCTGTTCTGAATGACTGTGCTGAAGGGACTTGTCCAAAATGTTGTCAGTCAGGATGATGCATTCAGACTGAAAGAAACAGAATAGGGTGGGGACAGAGTTACCTTTTATGCTATGACTGTGTGCAATATTGTTTAGCAGTGGATAAATCATTCACTTTCTCCACAGTAGGCCTACCCTAAAACGAATGACTAGTGCTGTAAAGGGTTGTAAAAACTTATGAAAACAATACAAATAATTTACAATGCACTTATTATTATACGGAAGTTACTCCAGATTTTGTTATGGAATTACTGGGCACTTTATGAGGTAGTAAAAAGAAAAACTATAGAGCATGTTAAATCCAATCCACTTGAGTTAGTTACTCAAAGTAAGGCAATAACATTGGGTTATGTGAATCTAAAAAATATATATAGTTTTAAATAATAAAGACTAAACTGTGGCTTGTAAAGGCTTAGTTTTATTCTGCAGCCATAATCTAGAAATTACTACTTTTGTTTGTTAATATACTAATACTGTTGTCAGGTACACATCAGCAAGTAAAAACACAACTTACCTTTGTTCCTGATTCATCTGCTGCCCTATTATCCTTGTTTCCTTGTGCTCTGTCCTGACCCCTCCGTCGGCACGTTCACCATCAGGAGACTGACACCAGCCTGGATAGCGCAAGAAGAGAGTGTCGAAACTTACCTGCGCGCAAACGACACGCCCAGGTAACTCATGAATGTCCATGTCAGAACACACCTTCCCAGGAACTCTGAAGTTATTCTGGCTCGTTGGCTGGAGTTTGTGTCCTCGCTGTGTTTTCTGCCCAGCTGTCATGAACTTATGTGAGCAGTCCGCTGGGTTTATAGACTCCTCCAGGGTGATTAACGTCTTCACTGATAGGGACAGAGAATTGATTTCTTAAAGATGTGTGTAGAATGCTCGGCTTTTACCTTTAGCCCGAATAACCAAAACTATAAGAATACACCTGTCATCATTTTTAGAGCTGCTGCGATGGATAGCCTCATTCTTATTTAATTTATTTTAGCAGCAAAAAATAATACATTTCGAGTGAATAAATGAGTAACAAGCTAAATAGGCTCTATGGTTAAACATTAAGCCATTTGACCAGTTCACACAATGTCATTTGTTTGAGTGCGGACTGGTGGTCAGGCTGGCCTGGTCGATCAGCAGCAAGCACTTCAACTCTGTCCCAAATATGATAACACCCTAAATACATTTGTATGCAAATAATCTGGTTCTCTACTATCGAATAGTGAAGGAAACTCACAGCTTGAACTGGACTTCCTGCTCCTCATTTCACCAAAAGGAGAATGAGTTTTTTTTACACAAAATTGTAGAAATTCTCTAAAGCTCTTTTTGCTTTGAGTACCCTTATCATATTTTTCTGTAAAATGATCTGGAAGAAATTCATTTTCAATCATATTACACACAGATTGCATACCTATATTTTGTAAAAATCAGTAAGTATTCCAAGGGCAGGCAAGTTTAAACTTAACATGTCTTAAGACTAAGATTCCCTCCATGCCTGCATGCATTTCTTGCAAGTTGCAACAATTTATAGACTGAATGAATTGTAACAGTGAAGTCAAATGTTTTTTATTTGATTTTTATTTGATTCAGCTTTGATTGTATAGCTAAATTCAGAGATGTCTGAAGGGAGTGACAATAAGGAATGCATTCACTTCTTAAGATAGTCAGACCAAATATATGACCACTCAGCTGTTTATCATTTTAAGATAAGTTTAAAACTCAGACACTATACTGAGTTACAGTTTAACAACAGAGTAGATTAGTGATGTGTGTACAGGATCAATTCTGTGTTATAATCTGTCAATCGGCTTTTGATCTGAGAGCATTCAGAAGCCTGTTCAGATAAAATTGGGTTTATTGGGAGGGGAACTAGAAAAGGGAATCTTCATGAAAGCATGTGATTTTAATGTTGTTGTACTGCCATGTTGGCTGCACGCACCTAAAAACACATCCAGCTTGTTTAAGCTACTGTATACTCTTTTCATTCAGTCCTTGAAGAGGTACTAAAATGTGTATTGTAATCTAAAACATCTGTGGTTTCACATGTATCCAGTATTCCCAGTAATGGTGCCGTGCACATTAAGTATACAGTGCCTGAAACTAAGTCAGTGAGGTAGAGTAAATGCATACAGTAGGCCACAGGATGTGGTGTGTATTTGTCCAACTCATCATGTCTACGGTTGACAAATTGACCGACACACACTTTAATACAAGGTCTAACTGTATGGGCAACTGTAAACTATGTTTGCAATGTCCTGTTATTAATGCTGGAGTAATCACGTAAGTTAGTTAAGTAAACAGAGCTGTAATTTACTTAGTCTTATCTCCAAACTGAGTTGACTTAATTTCTTTATGAATTCACAGTATTATTAGTGGGTAGCGACACTAATCATCTCATGCAGAAAAGAAGTTAGTGTCCCCAACAGAGGCAAAAAGAAAAAATTGCTGCCAAAATCACATAAAAATACTGTCAACGATCAATGTGCTTAAATGCACCTTGCTACAGTAACAGGAAAAAAAGATAAGTCATGGAAAACAAGTTAGAGATATATCAGATTGTATTATCATGTACACAATTACTGGAGCCATACATGTTACATATATTGTGAGTTTTCTGTACATAATCTGTGAGAGCATCCATTATCCAACTGATCTGCGTCAACCGCTCAGTTAAGTGAAACAAAATATCCAGCACTTTATTGGAAATGCAGAACAAGACAAGGACAATCAGCTGACTAGAAATTTAAAGAAATGTACATAACATACAATGTTATGTTACAAACAGATTGGTAAATAAATAACACACAATAATGAAAATGTACTCATACATTCTGTCCTAGAAGAGACATTGAAATTCATATTGTAACCTAGAATGCATGTGGTATCATATTCTTAAGACTTTAGGAAGCCTGTTCAGTTACACTCCGGCGCCTCGTATTGAAACATAATTAACCAAATAACCACTAAGCCATGTATTGCATTTTGGTTTCATGATACATGATAGTTGAGATGTTTGTATTAATCATCAAAGCATTGAATATATTGATTGATGCTGATTTATAAGTTGTACATCGGTTTGTGAGGCTTATTTCCATATGTAAACTCTGAAGTAAACAAGACAGATACTTGTATTGTAACTGTGCTGGATTCATAAGGACAAACCTGAAAGTGTCTATAATTTGGGAGATCCAACTAATTGCAGACTGTATATTAGGTTAGAGAAAATCACTATATGCACTATATATGTTTTCCCTTCTATGCATGTAAACTGTAGACCATTCAGGCAGGTATTCCACAAAGCAATATTAGAAACATAGCTGGATAACTTTGAAAATGATGCTATATCCTGATTTTAATCTAAAAACAAAATGTAAAGAATATATTTCAGTCATGCATACTCAAGAAAAATCACTACAATTGCAGAGTATATTTCATAACACTTCTGACATTATCCCACTAACTTGCTAATCTGATTTGTGGAATTCCTCCAAGGTGATATACTAATATTAAAGACAACGCTTAAGACAAACATTAAAAAACAACAAAAATAATGCATGTGCAAAACTGCCAAGGGGTATCTCACAACAGAAGACTATACTGCACATAAATAAGAAGTGATATCCATGTAAATGATTGTGCTACCTAAAGAATATGAAAGTAACAAAAGATCATTTTGTGACTTAACAAAAATTCTAAATACAATTGAAATTGTTGTTCCATCTATAAGCAATACTGAAAAACATTACAAAAGATATCATGTTTTTCTTTTATCACTGGAAGCTACTGCTCCTAAATTATAATCCTTTACGCGTTTAATTCTTGTCCATCTAACCACAATGTCAAGTTCTTCTGACAGCGTGTCACTGTACATCTCAAACAGCTGAACCCTGAGTCCTCTTCACTGCTCCTCCAGCCAGGATGGCTTGTCTGATCCTGGGGGCTTTAACTTCACATTGAACTGTATAAGAGTTTGTTCCAACTGCTGCTGGTTGCCAGCAAAGTAAGCCGAGATAGCATTATGGAAGAGAAGCAGCTGCTTGTGCATTACCTTCACCTAGAAGAAAAAAGAAAAGGGACATTTTTCCATTACAAACACAGTTTCAAGTGTTTACAGGAAACACAGCTCATGGACATCTATTAAGATGACATTTACTAGCTGCTCAGATTAGTTTCTGAGAAATCAACTGAAAAGCAACTTGCATATTACATTCCTCTAAGATGTATTCCCAAGGGTCAAATACACTTTTTAAGATATACTAGACTTGAAAAGTCTTACATACTGTGACTAATGTTGATTTTAATCTTTCATCATTTGAAAAACTGCCAACATAAAACAGAATGTTGTTAACAGTGTGGGTCACGGTTCAACAAAATTGAGGCACTCTCTCTTTAGTGTTATTACTGTAATTATCTACAACATGAATATGCTTGTCTCTGTGCACAAAGCAGTCTGCCTGCTTCCTTTAGTTTGACCTAGTCTGACTTACTTAACACTGTAAACTAGGCACCACACAAATCAGTGTGATGTGAGAAAACAATGACAGATTGGAATGCATCACAATGTCCATTTATTCCAAATATAATTTCCCAACTTCTTCCTACTTTCAGAAAGCTGTCCAAAAGCAATTTTCAGAAGGTGTTTTTTTAAGAAGTAACTTAACACGTAGCTTACAAGCAGTGTTTCACTGTCCTTGCTGGTTGACAGTTTCAAGCCTTTTTTTTTCTTTTTTTTTTTTTCACCTCCTCTGACCACAACCAGCATCACTGATGCCTGTGGTTGGGTGTGGTCAAAAGTGTGTAACCACACCCAACAGTGAAGCCATGGAGTCCGGGAGTACACCTATACATCACTGCAGCAGGGTGAGAAGTTAAACCACTGGAAGTCATCCGAAACAAAGTTTTATGAGGTGTTAACTTGCTTTTTTAATGTGCTGACATTTCAAAGAAAAATGAAAACCACAAACCTTGTTTTCCTCCAGGAATTTGAGTTTGATGGTGACATCACTGCGCAGCCTTTCATATTTGTCTCGGTGGATCTGGTAGTCATGCTGAGACATCTCAATGCGGACCATGGCAGCTGCATCCCTAGGGCCCAAACTCAACTCCTCCAGATCAGAACGATAGGCATCAAACTCAAGTCTGCGCGCAAAAACAATCCAGGCTGTCATAGGCTCTCATTTTCTAGGTGATTACCCTACAGCAATTCAGAGGTTTGGAGAATTTCTATCTCTCAACTCCTAAAGGGGATGTCAGAGTTTGTTACCTTGCATTTTCATACAGCTTAATGGTCAACAGGGTATCCTCCATTGTTTTGTTGACCAAGGTGTTGACACTGGACACAAAGAAGCTGATGGCACTGAGCAGAGCCTCACCATTCTTACACAACAGCTTTTGTGTTTCTGCATTATACCCAAACTCGTCCTGCAGAGAAACAACAACGTTTTAACTGCTAACTTAATTTTCATGTCACCTCACATGGGGAGCTTTGGTAATACTGTACCTGCAACTCTGGGGACTTCTGGCTGAGGTCAGTGAAAGTGTCTCCTAGAGCCTGTTGTGTCTGCACCATGCTTTGAAAATGACTGGTGAGTGCAGTGGCCAATCTTAGGATGTTCTCATACTTGCTCTTGGTATCTCTTAACACGTCAATCTGAGCCTCCAGTTCCAGGTCTACTGTTCGTGAACCTCGCCCAAACCTCTCTGA